TTAGCCTTTTTTTCCCTGTTAGACTATGAAAATAAGTTACGTTGTTGGGCACATATCACATTGATAAATTATTAGTTAACATACACAATAACCTCCTTTTGCTGTGGAGGAGTGTAATTGTAGCATCAGTGTAGCAGGGTGATGGAGCTTTGAAGGCTTTCTAGCAAACCTGGCCTTTTTGAAGTTGAGTTTACTTTTAAAAGACTTTATTTTTTAATTGTATTTTAGAATTTTCATTTGATTTCATTACCGCACTGCATATGGATTCACTCTGGCTCTTCTTGCAGAGAGTATTCTCTCACCGCTGTTGCAAATAAAGTCTGTGTCAGAACTGATTATCAGGTCCATCCATCTCTTACTCTTGAAACACCTTTTAATGCACCTCCAAGCAGGAATGCTCGTTAATGTGCACTCTGTTTAAAAACAAAAACCAAACCCCCATAAAACTTAAAAACAGCTAATGAAATAAGAAAAACCCGATCCTTGGGCCAGCTATTGCTGCATTTCACGATAAACTGGAATGCAAGCACACGCAGCCCTCAATATTAAAGAGTTTCTCTAGGCTTATTGTGATCGTTGGGTACAAGGCTGGGAATATGTGTGGTTAAATATATTTTTACTTTGGGCATATGATAAATCATCTTGATATTTACCTTTTCTGAAATGTAATAATTCAGTTATTTATTTATTTTATTAATATAGTTATAATTTGTCAAAGAACAGTAAGACAAACCCTCATATTACTACTTCTACATCACAAGTGATCTAAAAACCCCCAAAATGGCAAAAACCACTGTAGACAAATATGAAGAGCAACACCCATTCTTAAAAATGGAAATAGCTTTTTTCCACAGACTCACCCATAATCTGAACATCTCTGTAATAAAATGCTCTGTTATTGTAGGCGCTTCAGCTGTTCCTGCAGGGAAAGAGAATGGTGAACTGGGAGAGTTCAGGAACAAGCTGTTGACTTTCCTGGATATTTCTACATGCTATGAACCTGCCAGACTCATCAGTGACTTCCCCTTTGATGGTAGGATGTTGCTTACACTAAGATGACAGGTTTTATCTACTGTTTGCTTGGGAAATGCAAATAAAGACGTGAGTTGCCATGCCATGATCCTTGACTTTTGTTTCCATGTTGAAGGCTTGCTGGAGGAACGGGCTCTGCTTCTGGGTCGTATGGGTAAACATGAGCAAGCGCTCTTCATCTATGTACACATCTTGAAAGACACCCACATGGCTGAAGAGTGAGTATTCCTGCACAACTGAAAAGTAACACCAATCAACAGCTAATATGACTGATGTTAAACTGTCAAAGTATTTCCTGACTCAGTCACGAACTTGGGTCATTTCCTGGAGTCATATTTACATGCATTTTGGATTCCATAGTGTAATTCAGTTTTGTTTATATAGCGCCTAATCTCAACAATAGTCACTGTGAGGCACTTTGCATCACAAGGTAAAGACCCCACAATAAGACAGAGAAACCCCAATAATCAAATAACCCCCTGTGAGCAAGCACTTGGGGACAGTGGGAAGTAAAAACTCACTTTTAACAGGAAGAAATTTCTGGCAGAACCAGGTTCGGGAAGGGGCGGGCATCTGCCACCACAAAGAACAAAAGGGCATACTGTGGAAGAGTCGGATTATTAATAACTAATGATTACATGAAAAGTGGTGTCTAACCACATAGTGAGTGAAAAAGAAACCCTCACTGATCCAGCCCCAACTATAGCTTTATCATATAGTTGGGGCCCTGACTATGAGTAGTGGTTTGCATATTTGGCCCACCAAGTGAAGGGTTCTGGCCTGATCCCAAGAGGAGGCACAAAGCCCTTCGGGGTTGCATGAGAAAGGGCATTCGGTGTTTAAAAACTTGCCAAATCAAATATGCGCTGCTGCCTGAAGGGTGACGCCTTGTGAATAAGGGAGCAGCTGAAAGTAGCTCTATATTTAACAGCATTTTCTGCAAGGCAGAGCCAGTGTAATTACCTGCAGTGCTGTGTTTGTCCAATCAGTCAACATCATAGCATTAAAATGAGCAATTTTATATCATCATGTATTTGCTAATGTTTTTCTGTGTGCTCTTTGCAGATACTGTCACGGACATTACAACAGTTCAGTGGAAGGAAATAAAGATGTAAGTAGTTTTTAGTGTAATTCTAGGTTGTTGGGGGGTTTTTTTTGGGGGGGGGGTTACCTCTTTTGAGTTTGTGTCCTCCTGGAATTTATTAAAGTTTATTTTTTATGACCACATTTTTCAGTTTGTATGCTTTGCTGCCTTCTGATAAGCACATTTGTGTTCACAGAACATGCTATACAACTATAATGAATTATTTATGCTACAAGGAGCATTGCCAGCTTTACAAAAAAAAGAAATGTTAAAAATTTTCTTCCTCACTTAACTAGAAATGACAGCTGACATGACAGCATGTTGTTGGCCTGTTTGTCTGCCTGTCCTGTTCTCTTGAATGCCTCTTTAAATTTATGTATGTTTGGCAGAAATGTTCACTTGGACTCGAGGATGAGGTGCCTTAAGCGTTAGTAGTCAAACCTCATGAGACAGGTTTTTGGCCGTAACTTAAGGTGCTAGTTTGTCAATTAAGCACATTAATAACAGCTGTATTTCTGCTCTGTAGGTTTATCTTTCTCTGCTGCGAATGTACCTGTCACCTCCTGACGTCCACTGCCTGGGGCCAATTAAGATGGAGCTATCTGAGCCTCAGGCCAACCTCCAGGCAGCCCTGCAGGTCCTGGAGCTGCACCACAGCAAGCTCAACACCACCAAGGTACACAGTGATTGCATAAGCAGGGTATTTCTCACCAGAGTGACTCACTGCTGCCTAGTCTCTGGTAGCGATTCTGTTATTTCTTTGTATAGTATGGAATGTTTAACAGCATCAAGTCAGATCAGGCTCTGTTAGTGTCTAGTGAGGCCAGTTAGAGTATACTGACGGTAATTGAGTTTGAATTTTATGAGTCCCCTGACATAAAATAACTCCACTTTGCATAAACCCTCAAACATCTCACTCAATCAATTAAAGTATTTTCTAACTCAATCCAGGACAGAGTCGGCCTGTTTAGACTGGATTAAAATTAGGTTTAAAAAAAACAGCTTTAACAGTGACACGCACTCAGTGACTTACACAAATTAATAATCTGACATTTATAAAAAAAGAAAAAAAGAAAGAAAGCAGCCACTGAACAGAATGCAGATTCTTTAAAGATTTAGTTTGTTTATAGCACAAAATGAAAGCCGCTCGCACTGCTGGGGGTAATCAAGCTGCTGTCTTTTGACAGAAGGATTCAGCAAAGCAGAAAAACATGTCCAACAGAGTGCTGGTCTCCCCTGAGAGGCATCTGTGGTGAAGTTTCTAAAACTTACTTTGTGTAACTTGTTAAAAGACCTGCACCCAAAACCAAAATAGCAAGAAGTTAATTAAATAAAAGATGTTACACTGAAAAGTGGCTCGTAACCCATTTTGCTTGTCAAAATATCATTTCACAATCCCCCACTCACTCCCTCCAAATGCTGTGAAGAAAATATCTCTTGAAGACTACTTTATAAAGTCGTTTTTAACACCGCCGTAGTCGCCGTGTCAACTGATTTGGTTCATAAACTCTCATCCAGCCAAATTTTCATTGGTGTGACTGTTGATGGTGTAGAAGAGTGCTACATCAATAGCTGTATTCTTGAGTTAATCTGGTTTGTTTTTTTGTTTTTTTTGGCCAGAGGGGGAAAAAAGATTACCTGTTAAAGTTTCCACACCTTTAAATTCACCCACCATAATTGATTATGTCAAATTGGGTGACACAGTTAAGGTCATTATTGTTAAAAATAAAACTAAGGGTAATTTAGGTTTAGGTAACTGAAATAAAGGCATTAGAACATCAAAAATGTAAACTGAATACTAAAAACTTAACAAAAAAAATAAATATATAGAGGAGATATCTTCACTTAGTCTTTGTCACCCTGGTCTAATCTTAATTCTGAAGACATATAAACTGGTGTGGGTAATGTATTCATCTTACATGTGAAAGATCCTTTTTTTCAGTCCTAGGAGACATTAATCCAGCATCGGGGGTTCACAAGCTAGTGTACTCATAGTTCCAGTTCCAAGCCTAGATAAATGCATCAGAAAGGGCATGAAGTGTAAAATCTGTGTCAAGTCAAACATGGATCCATCCGCTGTGGTGAGCGCCCATGGGAAATAAAGGAGCAGCCGAGAGTACCTACTTTGTGTTGCAATACCTTTTATAAAACCTCTCAAATCTTGCCAAAAAATATCTTACATCACTATGAAGATGATACTATAGATATTTGAGTTGCGGTTCTTCTCATAGGGGTAATCGTAGGGGTAGAACATACTTCCAAAGATTTTATGCTGGATACCCTTGAGCATCCGTGCAACCTTTTCTGTTTAACCAGACCTACAAGTGCATGCCTGGGTTACTGGTAAGCTCTATTATAGTTATTTCTGCTGTGAATAGCAATTTATTTTTTATTTTTTTTAAAGATTTGTACTTTATTAAGACTAATAGTGGTTTGATATGACTTCAGTCAAACCATTTTTTTTTGACTGCAGCTCTAGTTTTTGTTTTTTCTGAACAATCCAGCTAACAGTTACACAAAAAACTCTTAATGTCTTAGCATTAAGGAGAGGAGGCGTGGCTTTTCAGAGACCTCTTTGTCTCTGTTAAAGTTTAAACACATAAATCAAGAATGTTTGTCTGTTCTGGGTTATGTTCTTGTTGTAAAATGCGCTCCAACAGCCTCTGTTCTGTCTGTGACTTAATGAACATGTGACTCTTTGAGAAAGGCACTGCTGATTTCAGATCACAGATATGTTAAATTATCAGACCAGAGCGCTTCATCCCATCTTTCTGTGCTGCACACCCTCATCGGCTTTACTGGCACCCTGCTTTCATTTCCCATGGATCTGCCTTGCCGTGACAAGATGACAGAAAACTTTATGCAAAACATCTGATGTGTGGGGTTTTTTTTTTTGTTTTGTTTTGTTTTTAATGGAACTTTTTCATTTCTTCACTCGCATGCTTGCTATTTAAAATAGGTTTCATTGTGCTCCAACAAAATGAAAATGAACAGTTTTAGTGAATAAGAAACCAGCAAGATAAGTCTACTCAATGAATGAATGGTTCTATAGATACGGCCTTGGCGATGTGGCTCTTCCAGGAAATATTAACGGTGGCACGAAGCATGCAGTTTTGGTTTTGATCCAATTTCTTGCTCAGCAGTTTTTTTCAAGGGCAACTGTAGAGACTCACTGAGCAGGATCACATCAACACACGACTTAAACACTTTAAGTCTGGCTAACCTTTACTCAGAGCCTTCCACATCTTGGCAAGATGCTCCCACATTTGATGGTAGATCTGTCCTTGGTGAGTAGAATAAAGCAGTCAGCCGGTGCATTGATATTAGTTTGAGATTTCAAGGTGGACACTGGTTCCCTGGGCAGCACTTTTGACTTCATGTAGGAAATCATGTGTATCTTCAATCTTGGCTTCAGGAAAGCAGATGTCAATTGCAAAATTGATGTCCAGAAGAATCACAGCCAGTTTCTAGGAGTTTGGTCTTCCCCTCAGTGAGACATTAGTGCAGTTGACCACCTTACGATGCACAAGGCAGAAAGATCTATAGAAACACTTTAAACACAAAAAATGTAAGTGCTAGTAGCATCATTGAAGGGTAATTGATTAGTGTAAAGACTTTTAAAATGTGCATATTATTTAAGGTTATTGCACGTCTCTGTTTAATAAAAAAATACAGTTGAATCTAAATCCAGCTCTGTTTTTCAGAAGAAAATGCTCGCTCTGTGCTCTATGCCAGCTGTTTGGGTTTAACGATGTAATTTGTACTAATTTTATTACATTATATGAAGCAGGAGGACAGAAAAAAAAACTAGAGCTTGATTGTGTTTAGTTTTTCTAAACGGTCACGTAAAAGCACGCAGGAGATGTAATTTAGTTGTTGTGAAGGAGGGTAAGATGCAGTTAGAAGTTTGGAGGATATCATGTAACACAAAGTGGGACAGCAAATTAGTTTTTCCCAGAGAAGTGATTTGATTTGCCATTATGACTTTGAAATGATGAACAAGTATGTAATAAAAAGTCTAATGGATTTGAAAATGACAATTACACGTCACTATCATTGCTGCTTTTGAAAGTTGTTGCCCCACAACATGAAAATTACCAGCACTGCTGTTTATAAGAAAATATACTTTTAAAGTCTGTGTTTGCCATTTAGTAATCCACAGAGGTCCCTTATGCCTTTGAAACCTTTTTAAATAGCAAGGTGTGGTCAGTAGTGTTTACCAAGCTGGTGTTTTGTTTTTCTTTTCTTTACTCAGGCCATCAATTTGCTCCCAGCAAACACTCAGATCCGTGAGATCCGGGTTTTCCTGGAGAGCGTCCTGGAGGAGAAGGCTCAGATGAAGCGCTGCAACCAGGTGCTGAAAAGTCTGCTGCAAGCCGAATTCCTGAGGGTGAGTCCTGGAGAGCGGGTTCACATAATGACTTCTGAATTTTAATACTTGATATATGCTAGCAAGGAATTTAGGCCTCTGCCCTCTTCCTTAAAAGATTTTTTACTTTAGGCTGACATCTGAAAAAGAGTCCAGACATGTTCAACAACGCCTGAGCGAAGCAGAGGTGTGCATGTCTGAGAGTTTTTCGGTCCTCATGTTGAAGGATAGACAGCTGATGTTTTAGAGGGGTACAGTTTCACTTGGGAGAAAATATTTTAAATATGAAATTTATTAGCGCCGTTATGAGAAACAGATGTTTGTTTTCCTTCAATGGCTTATTAAGAATTATTAAGAAATAAAGAAGTTACCGGTACACCACCAGGCCAGTGACACAAACAGGAATGTTCAGTGAGCTTACTTCACCTGAAAGGAAGTAGCCACTGCTCAGAGGAAGCCCCCCCTTCTACCCCCACTAAAACTGAAAGTTAATATTTTGACCTGGTACAGTGCTCCTGCATTGCCCCCATCTTTAATTAGATTGTTTTCCTACTTTTTTTGTTCCCAGATCTCTCAGAATATTTAGAAATTAGTTAAAGAATTTTTTAAATAAATTGTAATATCAATAACACGGTGGACAGTCAAAGTTTGCAACAGTTAATGGCTTAAAAAGGACATTTTTCTAACTTCTCAAGTGTGTTTTCCAGTTTGATTTTTCTCGTTAACTCTTACGTCATTCTCCATTTCTTAGAGTAGTTATAATATTGCATTTCCTTTTATTGCTTTTATTGTGTTTGCTGTGCTTTATTAGAAAATCACCTTATGAAAGTAGGATTCATTTCAGTAGCAGTAGACTGGCCATGGGTTGCATGTCTGTAGTTAACTAGATGAGCCACGTTTGCGTAACGTTTATCTTCTGTTGGTGGCCAGTTTTTAAAAAGACACCGCAAAGTTAAATAAGGAAAAAAATCAATTTTTTAAAAAAATCGTTTCCTTTTAATCAGAGTCAAACTAAAACTATGATGTTGTCAGATCTCTGCAAATCCAAAATAATTACTTTTAGAATTACTGTTATTATAATCAACAGTAGTTTTGCTTGATTAGCAGACCCAAACAGCTTGTTTCCACATTAAACTTAACAAATTAATTTAAAACCATATCTGTGCGCTTTCTCTCAGTGGCAGTGAAACAATGCCTGCTACAAAAGATGAGCTTAAAGGGTCACAGCTGAGATCAGTTTGCAAGCTAATTAGCTTCACATTAAACAGCTGGCACACATATGTCCAGATGTCAATTTGATGCCATTAAATGCTGGCCTGGTTCAACCGTTCAATATTGCTGTTGTAATGGAAACTGTGGGCAGTGAGTGCAAATGCAATGCAACATATTTGTTTACTTTTCCTAATGTGTATATTTCTTTAAGACATTTGTCTCTTTGCGATACAAAAAAGTACTAGGATGATTGCGTGAGTAATTAAACTGATATCTCAAATGAACAGCATAAATCTGTGCTACATATATATTTTTTTAATATTTACATTTCATATGCTCGTCTGTCATCTCCAGAGCTATTTGAGAATTAATCATGAGGTCCACATCTGACGGGTTGAGCTGAAGTGGTCTCCGATCCAGAGTGTTAAATAAACAGGAGCTGTAGAGACACTGGGCAGAAATCGTCACTTCAAATCATGTCCACAATTTGATTTCTTGTGCGTTATTTCTTCAAAGCAGGAGAGTCCACACTCCTCCATCCGTCACGCTATATATTTGTGCTGAATGGTGAAATGGTGGACGACAGAGTGTTCGAGATGGAGGTTTTGTACCTTTATAATCGAGTGACTGTGCTGGAGAAAGACGATTTAATGTCCGTGTTCCTGTCATTTGATTTCAGGTGCAAGAGGAGCGGATTTTCCACCAGCAGGTTAAATGCGTTATTACAGAAGAGAAGATCTGCAGAGTCTGCAAGAAGAAAATAGGAAATAGGTAGGACTGTCCTGTTCAGATTTAGCATGCTGTTGTTTTATATTTACTTGGTTTTCAAATTTTATCTTTATTTCATTGATTTTGGGTTTTCTTCTCCATTCTTTTGCTGAAAATTTGAGTATATGACAAATATTTGAATCTTAAAACTGAAAAGTGGGATGATTTGTTTGCTCTATAGACACATTAACTCTCACTAATGTGGGGTTATGTATTCTTATATGCACGTTTATTAATTTAGTTGTATTTTCTTATGAGACAAGCTGCTGTTAATACCACATACACATAGTTTACTCCTTCAGCTTTCATTTAATGCTTGTTTATGTGCTTGTAACAATCAGTAGGAAAGCATTCACACATCTGTTTATTTTCTCTTTCAGTGCATTTGCCAGGTATCCCAATGGCGTGGTGGTGCATTACTTCTGCTGCAAAGACCGCAACATTTGCCCCGCTGAACAGTAACATCTCCACAGTAGAAATAATAAATTGCCCTCCTTTCTTCGACTCCTTGGACATCTGTGAACTAGAAATACACGTGGTAGTTGGAAGTACTTATAATGGGACGCTTTTGTCCAAAGCACGTCAGAGGATTTTGCTTGCAGATTCTTTTTAACCTGAGTTGACCTCCCGTTGTCATGCTAAAACCACAGAGCAGGACGGGAGCCGAAGTCGACTTTCTCTCTCTGTGCATGAAGTAGCAGTAGGAATGCCCAGGGTCATTCAACAGGCGGTGAGAGAGAGGGAGTGAGGTAGACGTTGACATTTGAAAAGCATGTGTCGCTGTAACGCTAGAAGGGATTCACGGCTCTACGGTACACATTCCCTCTGAGGAAAACGGACACTATTGACAACTGTAACAACAGACGTTGTGCATGCACTCACCAGGAGATGATTACAAGCCTGGTTTACACAGTCTCCCTTCCCTCCTGTTGCACTGCATCGGCCTCAAACACTGCTTCATATGCCATATAGACTCTGCAGGAGTACTGGTGAATGCCTTCTGCGACTCTGAAGATTGTCTCTCATGACTTGTCATTGCAAGTGATGGTACTTACTAAAACAGCTTTACTGCACATTTGTGGTTTTTGTGTTTTATTTGATCATTTGTTGCAGCTAACATATTTTCCTCGTTTGTTTTTTACAGTTTAAATATTATCGCTCTAAATTCACTCTCCACTGTTTTAATGTCTCGTTTGTCGTTGTTGTCTTCTTTGTCGTGGAAAATTTTTTTCTTATTTAAACTTTGCAATGCTTGAGGAGCACTCGTTCGGTTTCTCCCCTGGTTTGCTTCACCTATGAGCCACCGCATTGAAGCCACCTGCCTTATACGGTCTAGGCCTCCCTCGTGCCGCTGTGACCCATCAGGGCGTGATTGCAGTGCGTCCTGTGGGTTACAGGGCGCAGCCCCCATGGATCTTCCTGCTCAATCTGACTTGGATCTTTGGGAATTTGGGAACTAGGTCTATGCCATGTGCTTTTCCAAAGTTGTTTTTTTTCCTGAAGAGGGAAACTGTTTCTGTCAGGGTGTGCCGTTGCCATGGAAGATGATCAATAACATGTGATGTGTAGCTTTGATGTTGTGGTTTATTTAGTTGGTTCAGTGACATAAATGTCTCTCCAACTATGTTAATAATATTTTTTTTCTAAAGAAACTTTACAAAACAGTGTTTGTTTGGTTTTTTTTTTCCTTTGTCATACATGAAATGTAATATATTTGGGTTATTAAAGGCTTTCTTTGCTGCTTTGAAGACTAATGGAATAACTGATGTAAATATTATTGATTTATGCCCTTTGCTGTGACCATGAGTCTCAGCTTAGCCACTGTAACTTTTTCTTTTACGTATAAGGCTGTTGCCTGGTTTGCTCTGAGACAGATTAAAAGTGTTGTAACTTTGTCCTGTTTGTTCATGTTAACTCGGATCTTTGCTTTTTCATTGCAATAGTATGTTCAAATGACAAATTACTGTTCACCTGGGAGGTATTTAACGAAAGCAATGCTCCCCCAGGTTATTATGAATAAAGCAATGAATGTATGTTTTGTTTTGGGATTTTTTTTTAATTTTTTTTTTTTCTTGGTCAGTGTTGTCAGTGACGCTGTTGTTTGGGTATCTGGATGACTGGAAGAAAAAAAAATAGATCTTTCTTGTAATTTGTAGCATTTTCTACATCCCTTCTTCCTTGAAATATCTCCTCTTCTTCTGCTTTTAGAGGTTTGCACACATTCTCTGCTAAGACTGTTTCACATTTTTGTTTTTTAAGTATTGTTTTGTGGAAATTATTGTTACCACTGAGTGTATACTGTATAAAGACTAAGAGGGTAGATGACATATTTCTCATTGAGTTATTTGTTTCTGAAGAGCAACCCAGCAGGTCGGTGCAGTCTGTCTGTTTGGCTATAATCGGTAATAAACATGCATTTCCACTCATGTTTGTGCCTGTGTGACAGCAACGCTCAACACCTACACTGCACATATTCATTATGCAGGTGATGAATCTTTTTAGTGCTTGGATTTAGTAGGAAGCCAAAACAGTATTGTCACTGTGGAAAATGTCATCAGACTCTTAAGTATAAATTATGTGTAGATGTGTGGGCTACAGCTACCAATAACTTACCAGCAAAAATGGGTTTATGATTGAATTTTTTTTTACTTTTTATGTTCAACATCTACATTTTTACTCTGCATATTCAGAATTCTTGTGGCCAACACCATTGCTGAATAAATTGATTTGCCAGGCAGATTATTAGCGACAGCTGTTCAAATGTTTGTTTTTAAACGCAAATCAGTCAGCAGTCAGGCAGCAACTCAGTGCATTTAGACATGCATTGCTGATAAGGATAACCTGCTGAAATTCAAACTTTAATTGGCGGTTACTGTCAGACAAGCTGGTTTAAATATTTTAGAAACTTCCTGTCTAATGGGATTTTTCCACACAGTCACTTTTAGGGTTCACAGAGAAGGGTCTGAAAAATATTCAGTGAATTGCAGTTTTCTGAGTGAAAATCAGAGGTCAGGGGAGACTGCTTTGAGATTAAAGGAAGGCAACAGTAACTCAAATATCCACTTGTTACAACCAAGGCGTGCAAAAGAGCATCTCTGAATCTACAATGTGAATAAACCAGATTGGCTACGGCACCAGAAGACCATACCAGGTCCTACACTTGTCACCTATGAACAGGAAATTGAAGCTGCCATCCTCATGGATTCACCAAAACGGACAATACAGGGTTGAATAAACTACTTGTCAGTTTCTGCTGAAGTATTCAGATGGTTGTCAGAATCTGGCATAAACAACATGACTGAACAACAAAACCGTTCAGGCTGCTGGTTTTGGAATAGCGTGTATGCTGTATGTTTTTGGCACACTTGGGGCTTCTTAGTGCCAACTAAGCATTGTCCGTCTATGTGGCCACAGTGTAGGCTGACGGCTGCTTCCAGCAGGATAACGCACCATGTCACACAGTTCAAATCATCTCAAACTGGTTTCTTGAACATGACAATGAGTACACAGTATACAAATTGCCTCCACAGTCACCACATCTCAATCCAAGAGAGCAGCTTCAGGAAATAATGATGTTCTGGAGCAACTGTGTGTTATTTTTTTTAAGCAAAATTCAGATTTTTCTTAAAATATTTGACTATTCAATTTGTTAACTGAGTAGCAGTTTTAATTGTTCACCTTTACTTTTTTTTATTCTGACATTTCCATTAGTTATAAACCAATTTAAGAAAAATCTTCTGTCAGAAATATAGATATACAGGTAACATGCAGACTGGATAATGAGCTCATCAGTTGTTAGTTGTTGTTGTTTAATTTACAGCACTTCCTCTTCCCGCTTTCACAAATAAAGAAAAGTAGCTCCTCTCCCTATCTGTTTGCGAACAGTCAGCCATCCACATCTCATCTGGAAGTCCTTTCCCAGATAAGCCCATTATCCTCAGAGCCGGGGCACCGGAGAATACTCACACTGTAACTTGTCCTGCTAATGGACTTCCTAAACTGAGCCAAGCCAGCTGGAGTAACAGAATCACAACAGCCCGACTGCTCAGCAACGCCGTAAGTCTCACACACTAACAGTGAAGTCTGCCAACTGCTTTCTACATCGGGCCCTTGGATGGATCCTGATGACTTCCTCGTCTGGGCAGGGAGACAGGATCCAGCTTGAGAACAGGGCCCAAACCAGCAGAATATGTTTGGCTGATAGAAGCATCACTGGAGCATATGGAGAGCTCCGACATCATAGTACGCAGGTCCCCAGCGACTTTGAAAACAGCAGTGTCTGTGAGGCTGAGAGAAGCACTGAATAATTCAGTAATCTCCAAAATGTAGCTCTGTCTTTTTTTAAAAGTGTGTCTTCTGCATCCAGCAGCACCGTATTGTCCCGTTGGCCCCTAATAATCTACTGTAAAAATGAAGAGCGCTTATAACACCAGCGCTGGGATGGTGTCATGTCTTGGAATGCTGCAGCAGCGTGGGAATGGAAAAGATGTTCCAGTTGGAAGCTGTGTGCCCAGTTTAAACCAGTCCACATCTGCTTTACTTTCTTCGCAGCTGGCACAGAGAAAATACCTTCTTGGTTTTTTTGGAAGACTTGAATGTGTAGATATGACGAGTGATTTTAGGACCGTGGTGCACAGGCTTGTCTCAGATTTAAATATGTCAGTAACTTAATTGCTATTAAGTTTTGTACAGGCATTTTTATCCCCCCCATGGATAAACCCAACATGTTTTGACGCTGGCTTTCGTGTTTTAACTACCATTTGGTAGAGACATTTCTTTTTCAGACAAGACCTTTTAAAACCAGGTTATTAAAAGGTTTTGTGATTCCCAGCTTTAAAAAGTTTAAGCTTGTAATAAAATACCATATCGGCTGTTGGATTAATTAACATTTTCAGCCTCTGTCATCTACCATGGCTA